GAGAGAGAGAGAGAGAGAGAGAGAGACTACAGAGTTCTAAGTCTTTACGAGGACGAGTTGCAATCCAATCAAAATCGAATTGATAACAATTGATGATCCAGTTCGTGTTATTAATCACTCATCTGATGACGTAAAATTATTATATGCAAACGATTCGGTACATATCGTTCATTTCAACCATGCTCGCGTTGATATTTTAAAGATTACAGTTTGACTCTTCGATTACTCATTCGTTTCCGAGACTTCCGTAATTTCAGCGAGGCTCATCGCTCCGTCCGGAAATCGTTAATCATCATCGATAACGATTGTTAGTGCTCAAACATATGTGTACGTCATGAAGGCATAATGTTTTCCAAGAAGACAAAGACTCAAGACGCTTTTCAGGTATACAATGTCTCAGAGATATTCCACGAATTTTTTTTTCTTCTAATTAAGCAGTCCCACGTGCGATTCGCGAAAGTTTCCGGCGACACTAGATCGCGACACCGACCGTTGCGGACATGAGGCCGGCTTACGCGAGGCTCGGTTACGTAAATCGTTAAGACTTCATTGGCCGCGTGGCGGACCCTTCCTCGAGAGACCGGTGTCACCTTCAATGCCTTCGATAATCGCCTCTGAATCTCAATTTACGCGCTAATCCGCTCGGCGCGGATCTTACCGGCCGCAATCGGTGAGGCGGCTGAAATCGCCGCCTCGTCCATCTGCAAGAAATCGTTTCGGATTCGTTTAAGAGAGCCGACCTTGCAGCCTTCTCGGTACGTCGATTATCCCATCGGATTGATGAAGACATTATCTCCGACGACCTGGGGCGTAATTCCTCGCATAATTACAGCTCGTCCGTTATAGCCGCGATTACGCGCCACACGCGATGTGCATAGGAAAGCAGTCGACGGCATACGAAAGAGGGTGACGCTTTGGGAAAAGAGAGTCTCGAGTCTTCTTCGAAAGAAACTTCGCTAATCTCCTTTTCTTTCTCTCTTTTGACCACCTTAATCTCGCAGATCTCGCATATTTACACGTTCTCGTGATGTGCGCGTGCGACAATCCGCAGAGCTGACGATGCAGTGGAACAGAGGAGAATAATAGATATGCGGAGGAGTAGAAATAGAATAGAAGAGAATGCGATTAATTGCAAGCGCGATGTGAAGAATGCGATAAATGACGTATTCTTGAAATTGAATGAAAATTACCCTGAGATAAATTGAAATTGGACAGAAAAATTAAAGAACATGAAAATTAAATTGAAATAAGAAATTAAATAACGACTGAAATAAAATTAAATCAAAGTTAGATTAAATTAAAATTAAATGAAGAAAAATATATGTATGAAGCTACATTACTATAAAAATTCTTACTATTTATAAAATTATTTATGATATATAAGTAGTAAATATCCCTGTTTTGAAGTAAATAAATGTGTTTTATATATATAATATACATATAAATTATTACTAATATAATTTCTATTTGTTGGAAATTGATAAAAAAATTCTTTCTTTTATAATTTAAGCGTCAAGCTCGTCAATGTCTTATTTTTGTAATCTATATATTATTTCTAGATTATAAGATTGAACCTCGAACATTTTAGTTTATCGAACGATTTGTCTGCAGGGCTCGGGCTCGCATACGTTAACCGTTCCGCATCTGAAATCCACGGCGCCAGGAGTGAAATTCGGATGGATCCAAGGTGTGCTGATGCGATGTCTCCTCAACATCTGGGGGGTGATGCTCTTCCTGCGACTCTCCTGGGTCGTAGCGCAGACCGGAGTAGGTGAGTGTGCCCTATCTTCGAATCGTATCTCTGAATTCATTGGATTCCCGAGATCTTAACACCGATGGTCGTTCCAGGCCAGGCTATTTTGCTGATTCTCACGACGACAGTGGTCACGACGATTACATCCTTGTCGATGTCGGCGATCAGTACCAACGGTCTTATCAAAGGAGGTATGCGCTAAATAACAAAACTTTAAGTAACTGCGATATTGGAAATGGAAGAAGAATGAACAATTAAATATTGTTTCTCGCACGTTTGATGATTATATGATTTAAAATTAACAGAGAAAAAATATATATTTTAGAAATTATATAATTAATTTAGACTTGATAGAAAATATTAATATTAATTTAAATATTAATATTAATATTTTCTATAAAGTCTATTAATAAATATTTTTTATCAAATAAAATATTAATATTAATATTAATTTAATTATTTTACCGCGATATATTTTTTTAGCGTTCAATAAAATGAAAAGTTCTACGTTTTATCTTGTACTATGTTACTCGTATTTAAAACGCGAAAACTGCCGTATACAGTATATAAATACTTTACTGAATTATATTAAATTATAATATTTCCATATGATATTCCACTGCTCATACGAATTGTAATAAATTCCGAATGAGATTATAAGAAGAAAGAGAAACTTTAAGAATATGTAAGGAAAGAAGGTAATTAAAGTCGCGACGATCGTCTTCTTATCAATTCTTTTATGCGACCGATAATGCCACATGTACCAATTGATATCTTCATAATTATTTGCACATATGTAAACTGTCTCGACGAATTATCGCGTTGACGCGACGGCAGCACGATTAATCGAAACGTACGCATCTCGCCTCTTCTTGCAGGTGGGACCTATTACATGATTTCCAGATCACTGGGACCTGAATTCGGCGGATCCATAGGTCTTATATTTTCCCTGGCGAACGCCGTCGCCTGTTCCATGTATGTAGTCGGCTTTTGCGAGAGTCTAGTGGATTGTCTTCGACCTTTCAAGGCCTGCATAATCGATTGCGCGATCATGGACATCAGGATCATAGGTCTGCAAGCGTTCTAAAGCAAAGATTAAAAGAAACTATTGCAATTTTGATTAATTAATATTCTCGTGGGAATTAATATACATATGAGAATTCTTTATATATTTAAACAGCGCTGCTATTAACGTAATTTTCCATATCTATATCGATGATTGAACTTGGTTTAATTACGCCGCTTTTAATCCTCGTTCTAAATCGTCGTGTCGAGCGAATTAAATTTGCATTGGATTTGCAGGTTGCATAACGATAGTCGTGCTCCTGATAATCGTTATAATCGGTCTGGAATGGGAGGCGAAGGCCCAAGTATTTCTCTTGATAATTCTCCTCCTGGCGATTGCCGATTTCATGATCGGCAGCTTCATAGGCCCCAAGAGCGAGGAGGAGAGAGCGAAAGGATACGTCGGGTACAACGGTAATGTCGCATTACATAACGTTCTTCTTTCGCGTATTTTTCCGATATTTACTTTATACATAACTTACAAATTATTATTGCGCGATTAGTGAGTATTTAGTATTAATTTTGTCGTTCATTTGTGATTTGCAGCCAAGCTGTTCCAGGAAAATTTTTATTCGAACTATAGATACAGCGAAGGCAAGGAACATAGTTTCTTCTCAGTCTTGGCTATCTTTTTCCCAGCGGCAACGGGTATCCTGGCAGGTGCAAATATATCCGGTGACTTGAAGGTGATTCAGTTTTTTTGTCTATGGGAGATAAGATATTTATAATTAATAGTTGCTTCGCATGATATAATTTATACAGCTATTAATCGTTTAATTATTCAGTTTGCATATTAGCTATCTCTTTTATATTGCGATAAATTAAGGTTCCTCTGTAGATTAGCGATAGAAAAATTTGCGTTTTGTTTTTCCAATCATCGTGATTGATGCTATCGCGCTAAGATCAACGAGTATTTTATGCCAACACCGAAGTTTCGTGCCTGAAATTGCTGAGCCTTATTCCGAATTCGATCCGCAGGATCCGCAAACGGCAATACCGAAGGGCACGCTACTCGCAATTCTTCTGACGTCGTTGTCCTACCTTCTCATGGCGTTTGTGGTCGGCGGTACCGTTATGCGCGACGCCACCGGCAACGTTACCGATTTATGGACGACGTACAATAGCTCTCTTTTGGCCCTGTCAAATATTTCAATGTCAGACAATGACACTACGATCGAAAACGGTACAATTATCGAGAACGTCAACCACACGTGGAGCGTATACGGAACGGATTTTAACTGTACTAAGGGATGCAAGTATGGCAGCCACAACAGCTTCGAGGTGCGTAAAATTATTAATACGATTCACAAATAAAATTGATCTCTGAAGATATTAATTAAATAAAAGTAAGCGTGACACTTGTAAAATTTAAAAACTCATTGATCACTGATATGGATTGAGGAACTGTAGTAATGAATAGCGATTATATTTGATTAGAAATTATTAAGAAATAATGCACGAAAAAATTGAAACAGGCAACTGACTGCACTGTTGATTATTCCTAGGTGATCCAATTAGTTTCCGGTTTTGGACCCATCATCTATGCCGGTTGCTTCGCGGCCACGATTTCAAGTGCCTTAGCGTCGCTGGTCTCAGCGCCGAAAGTATTTCAAGCGCTCTGCCTCGACAAACTGTACCCGGGAATCGCGTGGTTCAGTGGAGAGAAAGATAAAGAGCCGATTCGCGGTTATTTGCTGACTTTCATCATCGCCGTTGCTTTTGTTCTGATAGGTGAGTGATGATTTTATACCGCGAGAAATTCGTTTTCCTTCAAATGTATTATATATATCGATTTTTCTTCCAGGTGAATTAAACATGATTGCGCCGCTGATTTCGAACTTCTTCTTGGCTGCCTATACTCTTATCAATTTCAGTACGTTCCACGCTTCCTTGGCTAGGCCGATCGGATGGCGGCCAACTTTCAAGGTACTGTAGTATAAAAATGTAAATCTATGGCATTTATTATTTTATTTTTACGTTATCTAACAATAATAATATTTCGTTCTTTTTTTTTTTTTTTAGTATTACAACATGTGGCTCAGTCTCCTTGGTGCTATCCTCTGCGTTTCTGTGATGTTTCTGATCTCATGGGGGACAGCTCTAATAACATTATGCGCAGTCTTAGCGCTGTATTTAGTAGTCTCGTACAGAAAACCCGGTAATTTGATACAACATAAATTTATCTTTATTTAAGTGCTGCCGTTTTTGTTTTTCGATACACTGCGCTCTTCACGAAAATGTATTACAGATGTGAATTGGGGCTCAACTACACAAGCCCAGACCTACAATAACGCGTTGACGGCTGTGCAGCAACTGGATCGGGTGGAGGAACACGTGAAAAATTATAGACCGCAACTCTTGGTTCTTACCGGCGCGCCTAACGCGAGATCGTCCCTCGTCGACTTCGCTCAGCATATTACTAAACATCAGAGTTTATTTATTTGCGGCCACATCGTCGAGGTATCGTCTGTTCCTATTTTTATTGGATTTGACATGTGACCACTCGACAGATAATATATAATATCTTGTACTCGCGTGCTTCAGACACCCATATCGTACAAAACGCGCAACAACATGGTGCAGAACTGTTCCTCCTGGTTCAGGGCGAACAAGCTCAAGGCGTTTTACTCGCTGGTGGACAGCTCGAATTTCCAAGAGGGCGCTACCTCGCTGCTGCAAGCCGCAGGACTCGGGAAAATGCGGCCCAATATTCTGCTGATGGGCTACAAGCAAGATTGGGCCACTTGTCCCCGGGAGAATCTGAATATGTACTTCAACGTCATGCAGTAAGTCTCTCTCTGTGTGTGTGTGTGTGTCGCACTTTAATTAACTTGCATTTTTGCAAGAGAGGACTAATTTTTCCGGTTTCTCGCAGCAAAGCTTTGGATATGCACATAGCAGTGGCACTTCTCCGGCTTCAGGAGGGCTTGGATTACAGCGCGGTCGGAGATGCCGAAGATCATAGGAGACTCGCGCCTACGTCGATACCGGGCAATCAGAGTTTCTCGCAGCTTAGCCAAGGTTTTTTTTTTTAAAAAAAAGCTCTTATTTTTCTAATATACTTTTTGATGAATTCAATATTTATCTAATATGTATATATATTTTTTTTTCGGAGAACGACGGCTTAACGATGAATTATAATTTTTGCAGCTAGTAGCACGTCTGATATATCGATCCCCGGCAGTCCCGCGCCGAGACGTTCGAAAACGATTAACGAGTATCCCAATCCGTCCTCCGAGGAGCAGCGCGAAAATCGGCCAAATATAGTGCCAATCACGAATCTACTTAACGTAGTAACGAAGTTCCAGCGGAAGCATAAGAAGGGCACTATTGATGTATGGTGGTTGTACGACGACGGTGGCCTGACGCTTCTGTTACCCTACATCATCAGCACGAGGCGCAATTGGTCTAACAGCAAACTGAGAGTGTTCGCGCTTGCCAACAAGAACTCCGAACTGGAGTACGAGCAAAGAAAGTAAGCATTTCTGAGACGACGGCCTCTAGAAGATAATCGCGCGGAATATAATCCCTATTCTCGATGACTAATATCAATTTTCTGCAGCATGGCGAGTCTCCTGTCGAAATTCCGGATAGACTATTCCGCCCTGAAAGTGATACCGGATATCTCGAGGCCGGCACAAACCGGTACGAAGGCATTCTTCGACTCGTTGATAACCGACTTCCAGGAATCGGCCGATTCGAAAGACTCCGACGACGGTACGAGTGATTTCAAGTTTATCCTACGAATGGCATAAAATAAAACACAGAGCTAACAAGCCGTTAGTCTTCTGTCAGTGTATATCATGTAATGATTTTATCTTTTTATCTTTAGATGTTATCAGAGATTCAGAACTTATGGCAATGAAAGAGAAAACCAACAGACATCTCCGTTTGCGCGAATTGTTACTTGAAAATTCCATGGAGGCCAACTTAGTCGTTATGTAAGTATTTGTGTCATGGACTTTATTGTACACTGAGACGGATTGTTTTTAATTAATATTAATTGACGTATAGGACACTACCGATGCCACGGAAAGGTGCTGTATCAGCGCCTCTTTACATGGCGTGGCTAGAAACACTTACACGCGACATGCCGCCGTTTCTACTCGTGCGAGGCAATCACACGTCGGTTTTAACGTTTTACTCATAATATTAATGTGAAACTGACGTTGACGAGATGTTCTATTCGCAAGGATATAGAACGTCACAACAGGTGACAATAGCGATATCGCAGTATTACAAGCGAAAAGAAAGACTTAATCATCTGTTTACGCGGAAAAAAAAATTGATTCGATCGTGGCGGAACGAAACACCTAGTGATATACTTGTACAGCGACAAGCTAATGCCAGGTATACACGCCTGTATCATCACGTGTAGGAAAGATGCGTTTGCGAACGAGCCACTATTGATGTGCCTATAATAAGCAATCTCTCGAAAACATTCAGTCATGTAATGAGACTATATTTTTTTTAAATGACTGGAATATTTTTCAATTCCGAAAAATCTCGATAGTCTCTCTTTGTAGTGTAAAAAGATCAATTATATTTTATAAATATCTAAAGTAAAGTGACGATCACATAATCTGTAGCATTATTTTATCGTTTCTCGTGCAATCTTTCTGTGCCTTAAATAACGCCGTGTTTTGTATATAGAATAATTAAAAGAATTTCTGAAACATTTATTCGGGGATTTTAGAAAATTGTATTATCTAAGAAGAGGCCGATTATCTTTTTGTAATAACTTTTATATTTCTATATATATATATATATATATAATATATATATATTATGAACTTATAAGCTCTTGACAATCTTTGAATATACAGAACACAATTGTAATAAATTCTGTAAATACTGCACAACTAATTGCATTAAAAGATCTGCTTATTTTTATATGTGTGTCTTATAATCTCGGTATAATGTTTATAAAAGCACGAAGTTCCATCATGAAAAATAGTATAAAAAGTAAACGCCAATGTTTCTGAAATAAAGCGAATGCGTACAAAAGTTGTAAAAAGTATTACAGACGCGTGCTACAGAATTATCTAAAGGTTTTACAATAGTACAAAACGCTAAATTGTCACAGCGACACTTGCAGTGTCAAAAGTCGCAATTCTCTATTTTTCGTACCTTTTTACCGCCGCGATACTGTCGAAGGCGGTATCGCGATCCTAAGGATGTTTCAAGTATGTCGCATATATATATATAATGTACTAAGTTTTATACAGAAATTTTATAATCGATTTCTGTTTAAACTTTTAATTTACGTAACTTCCTTATAACATAACAACTATCAGTGCTTTTACATTATCGATAACTCTGCGATACGTTATAGGTGATAGAGAGATATTTATTTGAATGCTTCGATGTGTGAACACGTTTCAAGACTAGTTGCGCGAATGCGTTGCGGGAGTCAGAATACTGATAATACACGATCACAATTTCTGCCTGATTGCGTGAGCTTCGGGGACTGCAAACGATCGTTGCGTGTGTATGTAGACGTCGGTGCATTCTTAATTATAATTTGAATTACAAGTTAATTTTGATTCAATTCTATATCGTAAAAAAAAAATCAATATTCCAACCCCTCTATATTCATATGTGTATATATATAAAATCGGAATTTTTGTGCCATATTGTGTTACGTGCCATATTTGCGTAGGTTAATTCTGTTGAGAACTATGGGATGGAAATGTAACCTTATTATGCTCTACAATATATTTTTTTGGGCTATCGTAGAAAAAAAAGATACAGTAAACAATAAATAAAACAAAAATACGCAAAGACACATGATTAAATAAAAAATCTATAGCTGCAGCTGGAAATGTCACATATGTAAAAAAAAACCAAAGGTTTTTAAATAAACGGCAAGAATAGAAAGATTATCTTGCAAAAAGCATAAACATAAATAACACAAACTTTGAATATATTACTTTTCTACTCTAAATATATAAAAATTATATATGTGTATATGTATATATATATATATTTCTATATATATATTAATCTCTTCAAATACTGAATCTTTTTCTTGCAAGATATATAAAAATGATACGTTAACTTTTTAAAAAAATTAATTAAAAAAATACTTATCAAAATGGATCGGGACGACGAATCGTCATTGTCATGCATTGCATCATATTCGTCCGCAGATTCGATGAGAGAGAGAAGGAAACTCGGTTTTACGGTTTCGCGCGGATAGCACTGGTGGCGTAGATTGCGATTGCATCTCGCAAGACAGATCTTACTCCCCTTTCACGCGTTTAAATGCTACGGATGTGCCGCGGTCTGCGCACCAACAAGCAACAGGAGGACAGACCGGAGCTAACTTTCGCCAATTCGGACAGGCGCAGCGATCTAGTCGGGAACTCCACCTTCTCGGCGAACACCTTACTCGACTGCGGGATCTCGTCCTCCGACCGATGGATGAGCGTGCCGTTCACGTAGAGCACATTGGCGGCCACGTCCTCGGGCACGGTCAGCGTTTGGTAACTGTACGTTGCCTCCCGTTCGATTCTCTACATCGTAAATCGGAGAAATTAAAACCGGAACTTTTCTACAATTTTTGGATTTTCTACAATTAAATTTAATAAATTAAAAAAAGACTAAACAAAAAATGGAAAGTAACGTCGGTGTTTTGTGTAAGCAAATCTGATTGTGAGTGAAAGTAAGTCTATTGTGAATGGGGTTGGAATTTTGAAATTATGTTCTTAAAATAACTCAGTTTGTATTGTTTATACCAATCAAAACTAACCTTGAGAACTTCTTGAGATTCTTTTCCTGCTCCTACACATATAACATCTGGTCCAGCCATTGTAACCAGCGATTTCAAGCGTTTGGATTCAGCCACCTAAGCAGAGAGATATTGAGTTACTATCTCGAAAATTATAGGAGAAAATAAACAAGTATTTCAATGCACTATGTAATCAATGAGTAGTCATCATAATATTTCGTACATCATGTTGTTAATTTACATAATATCATTTGAATAAGCTAGAAAATTATTATTGCATTCAATTTAATCACATGAAAACTAAAAATATTTTATTAAGCTTCACTTTTTCTTTTTAATTCATTGTTTTTATTCTTTCAAAAAATATTTGCATATTAAAATTATTATAATCTTATATGATCTTAATGCAGTGTCCATAATAATTCGTAATGTGCCAGTAAATCGTGCACAGTGTAAAGAACAGTAAAATATAAATATATTATCCGAAAAGTGCATACACGATAAATTCATAATATATATAATATTTATTGTACAATAATGATTCGAACAAAATGAATGTAATGGCCTTAAATTATTTCGCTTGAAGTCAAATGCTAAATCATATGCATGCTAAGGTGAGTGAATAAGGTTCGTGGGCATTGTTCAAGTGCACGGTTCAAGTGCTAAGCTGGAACTTGTGTCAACTCGTCACAATTCCAAAGAAGCGGTTCGTATAAATTCGAAAATTATTAGATACGAAAAGGAAGTTTCTCAAAATCGTGCAAGTTTGCGTTTCTATAGCCTGTGAAGTTATTCCATTTTCTTTCTCTTATTATTCTATTTTTTTTTCTTTAATGAGATATTAAGAGAGTCAGTTTAGTGCACCCAAACCTGAAGAGGGGCTGAGGTAAGACTCTCCACTATCACCTCTTCGCCACCATCACCCACCTTAAATGAACATTAGAAAAGTATGGATGAGTGAGCATGATAGTCTGTCGAAGTCTGACGCAAATCCGCGAGGCATAATAATATTATTACACCTATAAATATACAATGTGTGCTGTGAATAGATACAAAACTTTCAATGTCACTAACGGATCGAAACATGCGTTTGTTATATATAGATTATAGAGAGTTTCATTTTTAATTCGATTTCTCGCTGTGAGTCTATCAATACTGAAAACCAATCAAAAAGTTGACGGTAAATATTGTATCTCAGTATTAATTTCTAAAGCTTCTAATAATAATGAAACACTCTATCATATAGTTGAGATATAAAATTTCAGAGATAGACACAGAAATTACAAAGTCATCTAAATCTATCTAGAGTATCTATATAAAATATCATATATTTAATAAATCTTGTAAAATAATGCTTGTAGGTAAAAAAATGTACATTGAAGATTACAGACAAAATATCTTCTCTTTCAATTTTGATGTTAAAGATGTATAAGGCTTTTATGAGAACACAAGGTTATTTTTGTGTATAAAATAGCACACGTAAACTGACAATGAGTATACATGTCTTTATGATTCTCAACATCAATCGTTGAATCTAATGAGACATGCGATATATATTCAGTAAGTAACGAGAAAGTGATTGTTTTACGTTCAAGAGGTATTAAGAGATATTAATAATTCCTAAATAATGTCAGATGATACAAATGCATTAATCTACAGGATTACCGACCTTGATGGGTACGCATGGATATTCTGGGAATGCTGCAGCAACCGCCCGTGCCCCTGCTTCATTTGTAAAATGAGACAGTCCGACAAAGAATTCTCTACCTGCGAGATATGTTTACATTAGTACGTTTAGAAGATTCCTAGCGTTTATATGCATTTAAAGGCACAAGAACTGAATATCGAGGCAAGTGTGGAATTTACCGGTGAAAAGCACGTCTCCACCGTCCAAGCGGGCGTTCTTGTCACTTATTTCTATGAGCGGTATCTCCAGTTCTTTCTTCAATACAGCTCTGATGGTATCGAGCTGAAAAAAGGACAAACAAAAAAAATTAAAATACGAGCAACGAAGAAATCAGGTTTAACTTGATTTTGAACCATCAATTTGTCTCTCATTATTATTATCATCAACATTAGGCTCAATCTATTAAGGATGTTTAATACGTACAATAGTAGCAAAAAGTTAAAGGACTGATTTTGACGAATATGCTCTTCTCATATAGTGTTTGAGTAATAAGGATTGTGCAGAATGTTATCATTTATTCAGAACTAGAGCACAGAAATGCTTCTGTTGCTTTTTTCCTGAGAATTTTCAAATTCTATGGCCAAATCTAACCAATCTAAAAAAATTCAAATTAAAATCCTTATAACTTTGGATTGCTTCAGTAAATCGACTCCGGCTTTTGTCTTAAGTCTTTCAACATATATAAGAACAATCTAGTTAAAATTTTTGTTAAATTCTCATTATTTTAAAAATTCTATAAGTATAGAATATAAAAATTTATACCTATAGAATTTTAAAATAATGAGAATTTAACAAAATTTACAGATTGTTCTTATATATGTTGAAAGACTTAAAACAAAAGCCGGAGTCGATTCACTGAAGCAATCCAAAGTTATAAGGATTTTTATTTGAATTTTTTGGTTAGATTTGGCCATAGAATTCGAAAATTCTCAGGAAAAAAGCAGCAGAAGCACCCGAGCAGAAATTAGACGCATGACTAACGCCTGATCGGGAAAGAGTAGGGTTTACCATAATACGGAATTCCCAATTCTGGCCTAATTGGGAAACACTAGGATATGCCATGACATGGAATTCCCGATTCTTGCCTGCTCGGGAAACGATAGGATATGCCCT